ATTTCCAAAACTTGAAATCCATTTTTTTCTCATGTCCATGCATCTTGATGTCAAGATGATCAATTTAAAGTTATTTGAGCATCAAAACAACCACTTGTAGTGAAATTTTTGAGGTGGCCTCTAATTTGATTGTTTAGAGCCTTGACTCTATATGAACTTTTTCCTTTTGAAAATGATTGGATAGTCATTTTTATATTTTTCTATTTTTTTTAGATTATTTTGATAACACCCCCTAATACAAATTGATTTTTCAAAATTTATTTTTTTACTATTTTTTAATTTCATTTAGATATGTTTTGCTTAATTTTATTTTAAATATATCTTTTCTATTTTTTATTTTTTATAATAAATGATATATTTTGTTTAATTTTATTTTAAATATATATTTTCTATTTTTTACTTTTTTATAATTTTTTTTTTTACTATAGATACAATAATGTACTTGACACTACTTGAGCCAAGTTACTCAGACCCAAGCCGAGTACTTTGGATTGGACATGGGCTGAGTACTCGGGTCGACGAGTACTTTGGATTGGACATGGGCTGAGTACTCGGGCCGAGTAGTGTCTTAGATGACTAACTCATATCATGGGCATGGGTTAAAAAAACACAACTTTATAATTCTCTATGCCCATTGCCATGGAGAAAGTTAAGAGGAATCAACTAGCTAATCAAAGAAAATAAAGAGGTCTCTTCAAACCTGCTTCCACCAAAATTAACAAGGGCATTATTGTCATTAAATCTTTCAACTAATTAATCGAGTGGCCTTTTCTTACGGGAAATGATCAGGAGAAATGATCCACCTCCCCTAGCAGGACCCAAAGGATCACCATTAACAGTGTGCTTCTCTAAAATCTGGTCCGTTGATTGCCATGTTCATCTGATTAAGGGGTCTCGAGACCGATATATTCGGACAGTTCTTGTTTTCTAGTTAGGGTTAGGTTTTCGGGGGTGACTGGCTAAGTAGCAAAATTAGCGTTCTTACCCGTCTGAAATGTCCAGGCTTCTTCAAATCAGGACTTATGCAGACTGCAAAATTCAGGCTTTGTAGGGTTAGGGTTTCAGAATTTTGTGATTAGGGTTTCGACCTTCCTATCTCTCCATTTTAAGGTTCTAGTTCCAATTTGGCCTTTCCTATCTCTCGATTTTAAGGTTCTAGTTCCAATCTCTGGCCTTTCCTATCTCTCCATTTTAGCGGCTTTATGGTTTAGGTCGTCCCGCCTGAAATTTCTTTGTGGTTTCACATTGTTATAACTAAATCGTTGTTAATATATAGACTGATTAGGGTTTACTCAGTCAGGGTAATTTGTCATAGATTCATCGATCGTATCATCATTTGCAGAGGTGGATGCTGCTCAATAACATCTCTGTAAAAGTTGAAGAAGAGTCTCGCAGCTTAACAATGCCGAAAATGAGTTCTGCATTATTTTTGCGTGTAGCGATTATGATCCTACTTCCATGTTCATAATATAATCTCTCTGTCTTCTTATTGAAAATTTGAGGATATTACATCTTTGTTGCAGGGTTTTGGAAATGGTGTGATAAGGGATTTCAAACCAATTTCATTGATTTTTGGAAACTATTAATGATTATTTTTCCCTCTATACTGGCTACTCCGAATAACTGAACCGGGATTGATTAAGGATTAATTTTAAGCGAGACTTTAGATTCTCACTATTTTCGGTATTTGGTGCTGAATATTACTGAACTGGGAGTAGGTTCATAATCTCACATGCCAAAGTGATACAAATCCATGAAGGGTGTTGTGAACTGGGGGTATCCTCTTCAACTTTTATGAGATGGTTAAAATCTGTTACCAAGGATTGCTGGATTAACTCCATATATTGAAAGTCAGGTATACGACCGGTAATTTTTTTTATGTGAATTCAGTCGATCTTTCTGCTTTTCATGTTAATTCTTATCTATGTTATGAATTATAACTGTATACTTATTTTTTCTTTTATGCTTCAGGGTGAAAGTGGTGTTGGTTATTGTTCTGCTTATCTTTACTTTTATTGAGTACTTCTGCTGTGTTTTATTGTTTGATTTATGATGTCTTTGTTTTTTCATACTAATTGATTCTCTGTATCAAAAGCCAAAAGATGAAAAAAGAGATTGATTATCTCTAATTAAAACCAAATTCTTAAGAAGAATGCTTTTTGGGGTTGGTCCCATGATGGCATGTAATCTTTGAGACCTGATTGTCTGATGATGTAACTACAAGCATCTCTGCTGAGGACCAATTAAGCTCCAGTTTTCTTTGTTGAATTAAATTTGCTCTAATTGACTTTGGAGAATTAAGTTTGAAGAATATCTTAGTTATATTAGTGATTGATATAGATCTAATAGGACCTTAGGTATTCATGATCTCCCAATTTTTCATCAAAAGAAGAAGGCATTGAGAAAAGAATGGGGTTCTACTAATGCTTACCTTAATCTTTTGATTGAATCATGGGGTGGCGTTTTTATAGTTATATCCGCCTGAACTTTTGTGCTTTATCTAAGATGTATTTAGCCCCCAAAATATAATTATCGCTATCTAATATTCATAGAGCTATCAGAAGAAGAAGCCCTTGGACACAAAGATATGTAAAATGGAATCCTAGAATTGAAGAATCTTCTTCTTCTCTTCTCAAGTTTGATGTAGATACATGAATATCCAAAGAAGAAGTTGTTTGGCCAATCAAAATGGCGTCTTGGACAGATCAAGTATCAGAGAAAAAAAAAGAAGAATGGAAAAGAAAAGGAAAAGAGGCTGAGGTTTGTCGAACATCTTGTCCCTATTAGATAATTAATGACAATAATTTTGTAATTTATGTGTCCGCCTTTGATGATGAAAATGAGCCACTTGTTTTCTCTGCTGTCTAGCCAAAACTTAGTAAAATAAATTAGTTTTAAAAATGGCTATGAAGTTGAATTTCGATATCTATTTAGTTAATCAGTAGAAATAGAGTTGCGAAAATAACATGTTTACCAAATTGAAAAAATGCTCCATGCTCTATTAGTACCAGTCAAAACAGCTATTGACAGTGGAGAAAATTGGAAGAAAATAGATCTATTTCTTAATCTTAGTGCTAAAATTAATTTTATATCAAAGAATATTGGAAAGATTGGATAAAATCATCTTATATAGAAGAAATAGAAACAATGGATAGAACGATAAACATAAATGAATTTGCTATAAATGTCTCTATGTAAATAAGCAATTCTTGGTAATTATTGGCAAATTTTGTTGATATTGATGATGGCAGTTATCAAGCTGGAATTGGTTTTGTAACTCTTGATGAGACCAACCCTTATGCCAGTTTAAAAGATTTTCTTATCTTTGTAATAGAAGGGAATGAAGAGATTGTACTCAGAATTCTCCCTTTTTTAAAAACGAGGATGCATTGCTTATCAGGAAATCGTGTTTAATTATAAAATCATGAAAACTGCTAAAAATTAAATGGGACCATGGAAAATATGAAATTATAAAGCAGATCAAGGGCATAGATTTAGAAGCAATTGTTGGATATAAAAGAATTTATAGAAGCTTTGAAAAAGTGTGGTGTTGAACATTCTTTAGAAAATTGAGATAAAGATTGACTCACTGTTCATATACCCACTCTCCATGAAATTCTAGTTCGTAAGTAATTCGATGTGATAAAGAGGAGGAAGTACTGAAATCTCAAGTTAAAGAATACTATTCTTTTGCAACTTTCATTGTTAGGAATCATTATGAAGAAGAAAGAGGAAAAGTCCATCTAGTCGTGAATTTTATTTATCTAAACCAAGTGACTGTTGACATAAAATGACTCCTGCCAAATAAAGAAGAATTAATCTAAAGGGTGGTAGAGAAAATGATTTTTTCCTAGTTTGACTAGAAATCTGGTTATCATCAAGTTGAAGATGATATTCACATCACAAACTTTTCCACTCCAGAGGGCTTATGAGTGATGGTGGTGTCATTTGGATTATAGAATACTCTCTCACCGTCTTAGGGAAGAATAGACACAATTTTTAAACTAATTTTTGAAATTGTGAAGGTTCATACTTAATCGAGATGATATCACCAACTTTCTGCTCATATAAGCTTTTTGGAGTAGAAAAGGAATTTAATAGTTAAAATAGTGAGCCATTTTTTACTTTTTGTGAACGTAGAATACACCGTAACTAAATCAATCGCTCCAAATCCCACCACACTTTGTTGAGAAGGTCTGTGTGCGTTGGCTCAGATTGAGAAACTAGGAGCTAGAAAAATATGAACTCAAATATGGGGGGACAAGGACAATAGCCTAAAGTCTATTCCCATAAGAGGGGGAGAGAGAAAGGGAGGAGATACTGTCTTAAAGAAGAGAGAGAGTGAACTAGTCGTGAAGAGAGGAGCACAACTAGAGTTGAAGAGAAGGATATAGAAACTATAAAAGAAGCTGAAGCCCTTCTCTTCTCCTCCCTCTCCTCTCCTCTCCTCTCCCTCTGTAATCAGAGCCCTAGGTTTGGGTCCTCCTTCCCCCAAGTTGGAGTTCCTATTTTCCTAGCTTTAAGTATTCTTAGGGCACGTGTGATAACATGAAGTTAGGGAGAAGAAGATGGAACTGACCTGTTACTGTTGTGTTTGATAAAAAAAAGTAAGATATATAAAGAACTTCATTTTATTGTAGCTCTTCCCATCTTTACACACAAAAAAAGTTCCGTGGAAAACCACGGAACTTAAAAAAGGAACTTCGTAGTTGAAGCTCGCCCGATAAAACTGTCGCCCTAAAAAAATTTCTTCACCCCTCTCTTCGCGCCTCAGCCGCGCCAGAGCCTCTCGCCTTCAACGCAGCCAGTTTCTCTTCTTCCTTCCTTGCCACTCACTAGGTACCTCTCTCCTCTCTTTATCTGTATATCTTTCTCCATTTTTAGAAAATGGTATTCTTCTTTCTCACTGTATTGAGAAGAAAGATCGTGCAGTGTCTCTCCCTAGGGTTTCACCAACTGCTAACTAGTTGTTTAAAGGGACAAGCATTCGGATTTCTCTCTCTAGGCCATTTTTAGAAAATGGTTTATCTCACTGGTTTAAAGGGACATGCACTCAGATTTATCTCTTTAGACCATTTGTAGAAAATGGTTTATCTCACTGGACATGCTTTTGGGTTTCGAGTTTATCTGCACCTAAGGATTTTTTTTTTTTACGAGTCTTGTTACCCTAGCCCAAATCATTCTACTCAGTTTTGTTATGCAGTGAATAGTTTCTTCCAGCATGACTTCTTTTTCACCCATTGATAGGTGCAAGGGATAGTATCTTGTGTTCAATTCTTAAGGGGCATCATTCTTGTCTACATATGGTATTGCAAAATGGCAGTTCACAGGAACCACCATATACTTGAACTTCGACATCTCCTCTTATATGTTTGATACAACTACTAGTTGTTGGCAAAAGGTAAGAAACTATACTTTGCTTACTCTGCCTCATTTATCACCTGCCTATAATATATCTATTGCAAGAAAAAATTTGTGCAATTTTTTTTTTCTCTAAGAGAAAATTCAGCTAGTTGGGAATATGTTCCTTGGCATGATAGAAAATTTACGAGATGATGCAGATTTTCATGGCTAAACCCTTCCTCTGCAAATTTAGGCCTTGTCCATAATGGATTCTGTTTATCAAGTATGGTGTCTATGTATCTCAGTTTCGATTAATTGTTATTCGTGATGCTTTTCTACCGCATATATTGGACCAAATTTAGGTCTTTTCATGCAATGCTTTGATGGTTTAGAATTTTCGATGTATTTTCTGGAATTACCATGTTGATTTGGGGTTTTATAAGATGGGGTATTGTTCTTCATGAAAGGTTTCTATATGTCCTCTACAGCATAGAAGATCTATGCTTCCCCTACCATCCAGCCATCTAATTTTGATCAAGAGAGCCACTCACCGTTTGATCTTAGATCCGACGTCTCAAAGTATTCTATTTTTAGTTTTTTTTTAATAAAAATTGTACTGATATGAAATTTGGTATGTGCCATGTTATCATTGGGGCGCACCTATAAAAAAGATTAAAAATAATTTTTCGATAAAATATAATGACCGAAATGCCCCTTGAAACTTTGAGGGGTATTTTGGTCATTTTATTTTATTGAGTTTTTTTTATATATTTTTCGCTAGTGCAAGTTTAATAGAGGGCTGGACGTCCAAAATTTGGTGTCAAAATAGTTAATAGACAAAAAATTAAAAATAAAATAGTGTAGAGACGTTACATTGTGATTGGGGCAGTCTTAGCCCTCCATTCAGAATGGACGATAAGGGGTAGTATATAAGTTTTATGCTGTAGGGGAAGCATAGAAAGCTTGCCCTTGTGTTTCACCTCTGAACTTATTTTCTTCGTCTATTTGGTATACTCTAGTTCTCTGATTGATGAATTTGCTGGATCTTTTTTCTTTCGATTTTGATTAACTGGTTTTCTTCTACAGTATGAATTTCACCGAAATTTAGTTGATTATGTTTGCTATTAGCAGTATAGATTTGTAGTTTTGATGGTGATAACTGTTCTGTATGTAGATTGTATGCATACTGCTAGGTCATAGTACTTTTCTATCTGGTGCTCTGAATATCTTATATTATTGTTCCAGTGTTTGTAATGTCTTTTTAAGTAAATTCAGTTACTTCCTACCAGTGTTTTCACTATCAAATTCCATCAAAAAATTAATAAAAAAAGTAATAATTTCAAGGTCTCAACTTTAAGATTTTACATCTTGCCTATAACTTCTACAACTAATAAAACACTGATATAAGCTTTCAGCATGTTATCAAACACACGTACTTAGAATTTTTTTAACATTCCAGTAGGTTGTCAAACACAGAAGACGAGAACTTCTTACTTTTCAACAAAGGAGAACTTCCAATTTCCGGGGGACATATACCTTCCGGTTATCAAACATGCCTTTAGTCTTAACTCCATACTCATAGACTTTCGCAGCAAAGCGTGGTGGGATTTGGTGATGGCTTGTGAATATATATTTACAGACATTTAGAGCAACCTGCGAAAACCACATTCTGATAGGGTTCACTCCCCACTTATAAAAATTTAATAAATCCTTGGAATATTGAAGGCCCCCCAGTAATTCCTCCAAAAAGAGAAAAATGGGTATCTATTGATGCCCACTCTATTTTTTTTAATAGAATCACAGGCAAGTGTTTACTGGTTGAAATTTATATGCTTTATCTGACCCAAAATATGGTTGTACTTGTTCAATATTTTATTGAACTATTGGGAAGTGAAGCTCTTGGATACGTTAGACCCTATAAATTGGAAGCCAAGAGGAGAGTAAAAGAAGGATTACATTTTTCCTCATAGTTTGACACATGTACATGGAATTCTGAAGAGGAAGGAGTTTGGCAAATAAAAATGGCTTCATGGGCAACTATGGTATCAAATGAAGAAAAAGACAATGAAAAAGAAAAGGAAGATTGGGAACATGTTAAGCTTGAAGCTCCAATAAAAGAAGAAGTCCTTCAATGAGTTTTACTCTTATTTTGAAGAAAAAAGATGAGGATGCTCCTCAAATGAGAATAGTGAGAACCAGACATTGTTCTGTTTCATCTTCAGACATCTCAGAAACTTTTGCAAATAATCCAAATTCCTCAAATAGAAATAAGGCAAATAAAAATGATGAGAATAGCTATCTTAGAAAACATAGGACATGATATTGGTGTGGATATATCTAGTTTGAGTTTTGGTGATTTACCACCAGGCAAACTGAGGCAAGAAATCATTTATTGGATTTTTAAAAGCCTTATAGTAGTAGCTAAAAGATGGGCAAATAATGATAGGGTCAATCAAACATTAGGATAACTGCAAGGAAAAGCCAGATGGGGGTGCAGTAATGCACGATAATATCACAAATCTGAGTATTAAGATAAATCACTGCAAAAAATGCGCTTCTAAAATCTCTGGTTCTATCTGATATAGTTGGGTACACAAGGGTGGGCATTTTAAAAATTGTTATAAAGCAAATTCTGAAAAATCTTGGTTAAAGATTGGGCCGAAGCTCTGTACACGACAGAAGGAGCATAACTCTATTATAGTCCAAAATTTTGAAAAGTTCAAAGAAGGAGGTCATTCAAGCCTTGCATATTTAATTTTAGAAATAAAGAAGAATCAAGGACCATATTTTGCACACACCTTGCTGCCCAATGTTCCCCATAAAGCTCTGATAAAAAAAACAAGAGCCTATTTATGCAGCCAGAATTTTGGTTAGATTGGTTCATGATAACGACTCTTGAAGACTTGACAAATGCTCATCATCATCATCAGCATTTAAGACTCATCCCAACTATTTGGAATCGAGCTATACCAATCATACTCAATGATTCTTTTTAATCAATGGTCATACCATTAGTCACCATATCTTTTCTCACTACTTCCACCTATGTCTTTTGTGACGTTATCTTTGGTCATTTAGAGCTTTCTACTGAATTAAATTATTTTTCCTAACCAATATTGTTCTAGGTCGCTATTGCATATGATCAGACCACTTACATCTACTTTCCATCATTCTATCGCATATTGGAGCTATCCTAAATTTCATCAAATGTATTCATTATGAATTATATCATTCCTTGTTTTACTATTCATGTATTTCAATATTCTCATTTCAGTTATACTCATTATGTGGATTTGTTATTTCTTGACTATCTAGCATTCCATTCCATAAAGCTGGCCTAAAGAACTTCTCTTTCAATTTCAATAGTATGCGGTAATCACAAAAGAGTTTAGAAACACATTTTCACTTCATCTACTCAGATCTAATCATAAAAGCGACATTTTCCTCAATCTCTCATCTCTCATAGATTATTGACCCAGGATATAAAAAATAATATCTTTTAACTAGAAAAGGCCTTTGACAAAGAAAATGTCTTTTATCATTGGATATTTTTTTTTTAATTTTTTTTTAACTTCAGGTAAGAAAGCATCTTTGTCTTGTCTTTTGTCTCTTTTTAACCCATGGTTTTGAAATTGTCCAATGCACGATTTTGTAATAGTTTTACTTTTAGCTTATGGTTTTTAGCCCATGGTTTTCTAAACTACTTAAAAATTGTACTAGTGGTATTTGATACTTCTTTAGTCTATAAACATGTAATCTTTCAATTAATAACATTTGAGTTTGCTTCTTCAATCAAAGTGAGTATTTTGTATCCAAAGCTTCTTAAGTGAAGTCGTTTAATCCCATCTCAGTACATTAATTCAGATAATAATTGTCTTTTTTTATTTTGGGTTTAATAACTGATTTAAGTGTTTTCAAAAGATGATCTGCATCAGTAAGTTGAATAAGCCTTAAAAGTCTCTCCTAATGGACACAAATAGTTTCCGAAAGCCTTCATCTATTGCATCATAGAGAATTCAGTTAGGGTGCTTGAACCCCTAACCTAACTCCTTTCCAGGTGATTATGCAGTCTCTGACCTCCTACTATTTTATCACTAAGTAGCTAAATTGCCTTCTTTGGCAAAACAGGCTTTGATTCTTTATTTTTATGCCTTTGTTTTTGGAATAAATTTGTAGGGCTTGAATATCTCGCTCTTGTGAATGCGCCTTCTATGATGGCATAGAGTTTCAACCCAACGTTTTAAACAAATTTTTTCAATGTTTGCTTTATAGAGAGTCTTTTAATTTCTGCTTGTGTATACTACCGCATTTGGTAAAACCAAGGAGTCTGATACTCATATTTTACCCTGATTACTTTAATAACTAGTTTTGCAGTATTCTCGAGTGATAGAACAACATGGGCTGATAGGATAATAATGGATAGGAGGATGTAGAATCACTAGGAAAAGAGTTACGTCAGGGGACTAGCACCTCAATTAGCTTCTCTACGATGAAGTAGGTGAGGATTTTGAGAAATTGTTCATATATGTCAGGAGAGTCTTTTAAGGTTTATTCAGCCTCTTGATTATAGATCAGCTTTCAAAAACATTTTTGTGTGCTTTACTCAAAATCAAATAGATAATTGGTACCCAGAGTAATGCATTGGGTTGAGGTTATGCGATTTTACTTAAAAAGCTTTGAGTATAGACTACCCATTTAATCGAGGTAAACACAATGTTCAACTCTTGCATTTCCTAATGAGATGTTAAATATTTATATATGTCAAAAAGTGCTTAATACCACTTGTACATTCCTTAAATAGTCTACAAAACCATGAGCTAAAAGATATTTTCAGAGTGGTATCCCAATTTGTGCTTTTTTTTTTGTACCTAAGGTTGGCAGTGTGGTGTGGAAAATAGTGATTTTGTGGGAAGTTTGGAAGGAACGTAATAGAAGTTTTAACGGGGAGAATTTACTTTTTAACAATTTCCAATAACATAAAGCTGGTTCAGTTACAAAGTAGGGCTGAGGTATCTCTGAGAGGGATGTTATGATTAATTTATGCTTAACACTCGTTGA